CTCATTTCGCAGCATGCAGGAAATCCATCACAGCCGAAGAAACCGCCCGACTATTCATCTCCACCGTCGTACGACTGCACGGGATACCCGCGTCGATCATCAGCGACAGGGACACGAAATTTACCAGCAACTTCTGGCGGAACCTGTGGCAGCAGTTCGGCACGCGCTTACAGTTCAGTTCATCCTATCACCCCGAAACCGACGGACAGACGGAACGGACAAATCAGACCATGGAGCAGCTGATACGAGCCACGTGCGACGACCCGAATACGTGGGAACAGCAGCTGCCACTCATCGAGTTCGCATACAATAACGCACCATCAGCCACGACGCAACAGTCGCCGTTTTATTTAAATTACGGACAAGACCCAACAGTACCCATGACACCGAATCCCGACAACCCCGTCCCACGAGCACAACAGTTCGCCGAGATTCTGCAAGCAGCACGGACCAGGGCAGCAGAAGCAATCAAAAAATCAAACATCATCGCTAAACGTAACGCCGATCGACATCGCAGACCCGTTACTTATCAGCCCGACGACCTCGTATTACTCGACACTCAAAATCTTCGCCTGCCCATCACTCCAAAACTTCGCCCCCGGTATTGTGGGCCATTCCGCATCAGCCACATGATCACACCCGTCACCGCCCACCTCCTCCTCCCTGCTGACTGGTACGTCAGCCCGTCATTCCACGTCAGCCTACTTCGCCCTTACATCCCATCCACGAGCCAACTGCCACGAAATCGACCAGCCAGCATGACACGTCCCCCAACCGAACCACTCATCACCCCTGAAAAAATCCTCAGCCACCGAGTCCGCGACCCTCGGGGAGCCCGAAGGATAGAGTTCCTCATTCGCTGGAAGGACCGAACGCCCACAGAAGACAACTGGGTCCCCCTGGATAAAATTGAGAACCACCCTGTCTTCCCCGAGTATCTGCGAAGCCGAAATTTCCGCGACGTCCATGCGCTCTCGTAAGAGGGGCCTCCTTGGGGAGGGGGGTAGTGTAAGGAAATTCCCTTTTCCTTACTTCGCGTCCCTGCTCAACGCGTACGTCACTGTAGCACCTCAGTCAGCACCGTTACCACTCACGACCATCGCATCATTCATTATCCCGCCCTCGTCGCACATCGCATCCCAACCTCACGGCTCGGCTGGTAACCCGCGCTCCGGGCCTACGCTTCGACACTTTCCCAACCTCAGCCCCAGGCTCGTCGCGCGACAACCACAGTCCATTACCGTTACCACTATTGTTTCGCTATATAAACCTTCGCTCATGCCTTCGCTCATTGTACTCTTTGCTTCGATAGTGCAATTCTCGTTCGTTCACTCAATTGCACTCGTAACAGTGTTGCTTGTGTGTTTGATATATATTTTCTATTTTCCTAGTGAAGTCCAAATGCTACTTCAATTCTCACCAAGTCCTTAGAGGTAAACGCTACCGAAACTCTACCAAGTTGCTGGCGCAACATCATTCCCATAGCAGAAACTCTCTCGTTATTGCTACGCTCTCTAATATATTCCTTCATGGTGCGGTGAGCGTGGAACGAACACGCATAGATTTACGTCGTCGTTGATATTCGCGTTCGTATACTCGCCTTGGCGTGCGGCGTTAGTGAAGGGCGCTTATTAATCTAAGTTGAACCTCTCTTGATTTCCCTCCAGTTACGTTCTCGGACCCAAGGATAGGGCGTTTGGTAATTTATTACCACTCGTCTGAGGACCCTTGTGAGGTGACCCCGAGACGAGGGATTTAAGGAAGGGGCACTTTATTTTAATTTGTGGTACCTTATAGAGACGTCGTAGAGGATGAGTACTGAGGAGGCGAACGTGGAGGCCGGTAATTTGCGCACTCTAGAGGAGGATCTCGTGGCTCGTCATTCTCGTGGTGAGATTAGTGATATTGAATACGAGCTAATGTTGGAGGGATTGCGCTCGCGTCGGCGTCGTGAGCACCCTTCCCCACGTGTAGAGAATGTTGAGCAAGTTGCGGGAGGTACTAGTGCGTGGGATATGGTTGTCGATGGCGGAAATAGCGATGACGAGGAGTTTGATGGGTTGATGTCGCGTGGGGTCCTGCGAAGACCAACTCGGTTTAGTACGGCTAGCGTCGGCGGTGTACAGGAGCGTGTTCATCGTGCAGCAGCGTCACGAGAGCATGCGAATGTAGGACGGCGAAGCGTTGCTGGAGGAGGAATTGCGGAAGAGTTCGATAGTGAGACTATGCCGGGCGTTACCCCGATTGGATCGATGTCGAGGGACGAGGGAATAGCCCCCAACTATGGCTACTTCAGATTCACTCCAGACAAGATCGTTGTCACTAGTCCGTTAGAAGGACGTCACGACCTGTCGACGTGGACAGAATCAATCGAGCCGCAGCTTGAGATCGCTCAGCTAAAGCGATTCATAGATGGCACCACCCCTATGCCACCAGCGCGTGCGCTTGCGCATCTCTCTCAGTTCCGCGCGATGCAGTTGCTGACATTCACCACCATTTCCCGATGCTGCTCCCCAACCGTACAGATCGCCCTTAAGGCGTGTCGCATGAAGGTTGATGCCGGCTATCAGGCATGGCAGTTTATTATGCGCACGTACATGGCGAAGGACGATCTGTACATCGGTCAGTTAGAGCAGGCGCTCACTAACCTCGAGATGGGAGAGCACGAGTCCGCTACGTCCTATTGCAACCGTGCGCAGCAGATCCTAGTGAACCTGAGGATGGCCGGCGTAGATTACTCACAAGCGTCGTACATCACTCACGTGGTGAAGGGGTTGCCGCAGCAGTACAACCTCTTACGCAGGATGCTGAAGTTGCCGCAGGTGCGCAAGGAGTTGGACGAGAACACCCTCGCTAGCTACATCATCGAGGAGGAATGTACGCTGGCGTCAGAGGGACGAAAGGACCAATTCCTTCCCCAGGCTAACCAGGTCTTTACCAAGAAGGGTAAGCCCCAATTCCAGCAGAATTCGTTCCCTTCCCCTCCCACTACGGCACAGCAGCAGCAGCCTAAGAATGGGGGTGGGCTTAGTGGGGGAGGGGAGAAGTGGAAAGGGGGTAAGGATGGCCAGCCGAAGGGGGGGAAAGGGGGTTTCAAAGGGAAGTGCTATGTGTGTGGACAAATAGGGCATGTTGCTAAGTACTGTCAGCAGCGGGCGGATAAGGAGGCAGACACCGGTGGAGAGGGTTCTGGAGGTAGCAGCGGAAAGGGGGGTGATGGCTCTAAGGGGAGCGGGCAATCATCATGTGCGATGGTGAAGCCCGTTGTGGAGCAGACTCCTCTCGTTGTGCTAGAGCCTGAGGGCGGGGAGGCCTTACAGGCTGTTGCAGCTGCTGTAAAGGCGAACCCGAGCGTCGTGCTGCTTGATAGCGGATGCTCCCACCATCTCATGGGAGATCGTTCTGCCTTTGTGGAGATGAGCAGCGGCGGCAGTATTAAACAGGTTACTGGCTTCAACGGCGCGCTTCAGAAGGTGCAGGGGCGGGGCACAATCGCTCTTCTTGGAGAGGGGGGCAGGCGTGTCTTGGTGCCGGACGTGCTGTACGTACCAGGAGTGCAGGCGAGTCTTCTCTCTGTTGGGCAGCTGCGTGATAGTGGTGTGCAGCTGCTGGATGCCGGGGATGTGACTTTGCTGCGAGCACCAGATGGATCGCTTCTTGGTCGTGCGGAGTTCAAGGGGCGTGTTCTCTGCACGAACTTCCAGCCGTGTTCGACGCAGCAGCAGGAAGGCGAAACGGTGGCACTTCTTACCTTGGCGACGGGCGTGCGGTCTAAGGGGGACCTGTGGCATGCGCGTATGGCACACGTTGGTATTGATGCCATCGAGCGCACAGCGGCTCACGGGTCAGTGAAGGGCTTGGATTTGGAGAAGGGGGGCAAGTCAGGCATACCTTGTGTTTCCTGTGTTGGGGGAAAGATCACTCGTCATACCTTTCCTTCTGTGGGAGAGGAGGAGGATGAGTTGCTCGGGGTGGTGCATGCTGACCTGTGTGGCCCTTTCCGTGAAGCAGCTAAGGACGGCAGCCGCTACTTCTTGGTGCTGAAGGATCGAAAGACGCGATATGTCTAGGCCTACCCTTTGGCCCGGAAGAGTGATGCGCTGGCGGCGTTCCAGAAGTGGCTCCCGATGGCAGAGCGACAGTGCAAGACCACGGTGCAGGCGCTGCGCACTGATCGGGGTGGCGAGTTCCTGGGGCACGACTTCACGCTCTTCCTCGACGGTAAAGGCATCATCCATGACCTCACATGCCCGTACACGCCGGAGCAGAACGGGATGGCCGAGAGGGAGATGCGCAGCATTGTGGAGGCGGTGCGGACGATGTTGCTGCACATGGGTGTGCAGCATCACTGGTGGCACCTGGCGTTGGCTCAGGCCGTCTGGGTGCGCAACCGCGTGGAGCACGCCTCACTACCCTCTGGTGTGACGCCGTACGAGCTCGCCTTTCGACGCAAACCTGATGTCAGTATGGTGCGTGTTTGGGGCTGCATGCTGCAGTACATGGTACCATGGTCGCAGCGTGGGGGGAAGCTGGCGCCTAAGGCTCACTGGGGGTTGCACTTGGGTGTGTCAGCTGCGAGCAAAGGCTGGACCGTGCTGGACTTGGAGTCCAACCGCCTCTTCACCACTGTGGAAGCTGTGTTCTATGAGACCATGTCCCTAGCAGGATGGAAGGCTTGGCATCAGCAGGAGCATGGGGGGCGTTCGATGCCCTATGAGCCCCTTCCCTCACTCTTCCCGATCACTCTCGAGGAGGCGGAGGAGGAGGAGGAGGTGGTCGCACCTCCTGCTATGCCCTATGTCCCTACCTCGGTCCCCACCCCACCTCCGCCTTCCGTCTACCCTCGTGTGATTCCCCCTGTCCCGCCTTCTTCCTCCTCACCCCCCTTGCCTTCCCCTCCTCCTCCTGTTATTCCATCTCCCCTTACACCCTCCATCCCTCCTGCACCTGCTCCGCCCTCCTCTTCGTCTTCCACGGCGCAGCCCGTTGGTGAGGGGGGGATGGAGGTGCCACCGTCTGTGGAGATCACCGACGGGCAGCGCCTTGAGACTGAGCAGCTGCAGGACGAGAGCAGTATGGATGGAGTACAGCAGACAGGGGAGCAGCAGATTGGGGAGCAGCAGACAGGGAAGCAGCAGAGTGGGGAGCAGCAGATAGGGGAGGAGCGGATTGAGGAGCAGCAGATGGTGGACCAGCAGCTCGGGGAGCAGCAGACAGGGGAGCCGCAGACAGGGGAGCAAGAGATGTGGGGAATTAGAGATGGTGGTCGTGTGTTGGTTTCTGGGACGACCACTGCACCAGTGCGTCGCTCCACTCGCATCACTCGTGGTGTCCCGCCTGTTCGATACGCTTGGGCTGTAGTGGTTGAGCCAGCGGGCTTGGATGACGAGGAGGAGGACGAGGAGTGGACTGACCTGGACCCGGACGTTGCAGCTGATCCTGAGAGGCAGTGGGACATAGCGAAAATGACAGTGAAGGAGGCCTTGGGCTGCTGGAAGGGCGACAAGGTGAAGGAGGCGATGGATGAAGAGATGCGGAGCTTGATTGAGCAGGGGACGTGGGAGTTGGTTCCGCGTCCGCCAGGGGTGAATGTGATGAAGAACCGCTGGATTTTGAACACCAAGTTCCGACCTGATGGGATAGTGGAGCGTGAGAAGGCGAGGCTGGTGGTGAAGGGGTTCACGCAGGTGGCAGGGGTGGACTATGAGGAGACGTACGCCCCTGTGGGAAGCTATGTGACGGCGCGTGTGCTTCTGGCGATTGCAGCTGCACTTGATTTGGACCTGATGCAGCTTGATGTAAAGAATGCGTTCCTCCATGGCGTGCTGGACCGAGACCTTTACATGGAGCAGCCGAGCTATTACGAGGATGGGACTCCTCGTGTCTGTAAGTTGGTGAAAAGTCTGTATGGGCTCAAGCAGAGCCCGATGCTATGGTATGAGGCCTTGGATGGGGTGCTGCTTGGGGCTGGATGGAAGAAGAGCAAGGTGGATGAGGCTCTGTACTTCAAAACTGATGCTGAGGGGGAGATGTGCTGGCTGCTGGTGTATGTGGATGACCTGCTTGCTGCCAGCCGCAGTCAGAGCATGCTTGGGGAGCTGCGTGAGCTGCTGCAGAGTGCGTTTCAGCTGCGGGAGATTAGCCCTGTGGAGAAGTATCTGGGGTTGCAGCTGATTCGGGACAGGCCTACGAGGAGGCTATGGCTGCACCAGAGGGCCTATGTGGACAAGGTTCATAGGCGCTTCTTTGACGGGGAGCAGCCGCTGCGAGTGCCTCGCACCCCTCTTTCCTCTGACCCTTTCAGTGTGCAGACCTTCGAGGATGTGGGATGGCAGTCTCGCCAGGAGGAGGAGTACAGGCAGAAGGTGGGATCCTTGCAGTTCGCGGCCTGTACCACCCGTCCCGACATCTCGTTCGCCTGCAGCAAGCTGGGGTCGGGCCAGACTGTGCGGAGTGATCAGCACTGGAAGGAGTTGGACCGGTGCTTGACGTACTTGGTGGGGAGCAGGGATGTGGCGCTGGAGTTTGGAGGTGGGCCGGAGTCCTTGGAGCTGGTGGGCTACGCCGATGCTGATGATGCAGGGGACAAGCAGAACAGGACCAGCACAGGTGGCTATGTCTTCGTGCTTGGGGGTGCTGCTGTCTCATGGGCGAGCCAGAGGATTCGTTGCGCCACCCTCTCCTCCACTGAGTCTGAGTATGTTGCTGCTGTGGAGGCCGGGAAGGAGGCGCGCAGGCTGCGCTTCCTGCTGGCAGAGTTTCAACTGCTGAGGAGTGAGGAGCCCACTACTCTCTTTGTGGACAACTCCTCCGCCATTTCAGTGGCAGGTGGCATGGGGCTCAAGGGGAGCCTCAAGCACATGGAGCGTCGCCACATGTGGCTGCAGCACATGGTCAAGCGCAGGAAGCTGCAGTTGCAGTACATCCCTACGAGCGAGCAGCCTGCTGACTACCTCACGAAGGCATTGCATTTCCCCGCCTTCAGTCGTTGCTTCGAGGCTGTGGGGCAGGTGAGGCTTTCGAGTGCGGGGGGTGAGACCTAAACACTCCATGATGTGGATGGTGCCATGGCCTATCCATGGCTGGTGCGGTGCGTGTTTGCACTTTGAGAGTGCTTCGTTTGTGTGTGTTTCCGTTTGGCGTGTACGTGTGTATGCATGCCCTGTGATTATAAAGGGCCTTGCTGTAGTATGGCAGGGGAGTGTTAGAGGGCCCTACAACAGCAAGGGCCCTCGATCACCTTTGACTTGGCAGGTCGACGCCTAACGACTGAGTCTACTCGGCACCGATGAATGAGTTCAGTGAAGGTCGGGTGTGACTACGTGTGACTATGTGCAACTACGCAGGAGTTCGCATGAAGAAGCGAGAGTCCGTGGGAGTCGTTGGTGCTTCCTTGAGAGTTGCACCACTCCTTGCTGTGTTGGTGGAGTGGTGTGCACGGAAGCGAGAAGTCGATGCTGAGTTGGGTTGGGAAATTGGCGAGGCGCGTTCGCTCACCCACACACCACTTTCGTGGGGTTGGGTTACTCGCAGCGCCCACGCAACCTCTTGTGAAACCCTCGCCTGCCTATATATGTTTGTGTTGCTTGTGTGTTTGATATATATTTTCTATTTTCCAAGTGAAGTCCAAATGCTACTTCAATTCTCACCAAGTCCTTAGAGGTAAACGCTACCGAAACTCTAGCAAGTTGCTGGCGCAACATCATTCCCATAGCAGAAACTCTCTCGTTATTGCTACGCTCTCTAATATATTCCTTCACCACTTTCGTCGAAGTAATCCCGACTAAGACAAGATGGACGCCGCATCAGGTCTGCATCTTGTAGTACTAACAAATTGCACTCGTGAGACTCGTTCCAGCTTAGGGAACGAATCTCACTTGGAACATTTGAAGGTTCGGGTGATGCTTCTGCGGCTCAGCGCTCGCCAGCAAGCTGGCGACCCCATGGATTTACAGTTTGACACTTCTGATTATTGGTTCTATTCTAATTAAGTCCTTCTTTCATGCTGAGTTAACTTAAGAACATACCTGAACTCCCCTTGTCCATTCCGTCCCTATCTTCTCCCCCTTTCAGCCTCCACGTTAGATGCAGTCGACATGCTGCCAGCTCCCCTCTGGCACCACATATTCCGCCGCCTGCTGCTGCCACCGTCCCAGCCGGACGATCTACTGGTGCCTCCGGATACTGACCGCACAGGTAGCTAGCGGCACAGGAGAGATGCGGACATCTATGGAGCTTCCTGGCCGCTGCTGTGCTGCGCTCTCACCAGCAAGAGCCTCCTCCAGCACGTCCTCTCCTTCTCCGTGTGTCACGTCCTCTCATCTTCCCAATGAAAATTCCATCCCTTTTACTTCAATAATATATAGCGTTTCTTTTTGTTTTTTTAACCATGTTTCATACACGCACTGTGATTTTTAATTGATATCGCCACAAGCCCAAGACCTCCATATATTTCTTAAGAACGCATTGACGAGGTCTGGTGGTGTTATGTCACTGCAGGAGAACCAACCGATCTCGCTCATCTGCAACCATCATGACCCGCAGTGGATGGACAACATCCGTTTCTTCCTCCACCACGGCGGGCTCCACTCCCTTGACCTCACCTTCACCACACCAGAGCACGTGGACACCCTGGGCCCCCTCATTGCACGCTCCAGCGCCTCCCTCACATCCCTGGGCCTCGAGTTGCATGGTTGGCACATATGGCAGGATCGCAAGGGGTTGGGCTTCCTGAAAGACTGCTTGCAGCTGCAGCGGCTGAAGCTGGGTCGGGGCAAGTGGAAACTGAATGGGAGTTGTGCGAATGCAGCGTGGGTGCAGTCGCTGCGCAGTCTGACCCTCACATACATGCAGCACATTGAATTGGAGTATGAGTTTCTGGACGCCATCACGCCGCAGCTTACGGAATTTACTCTCTACCAGGTCTCCCACCTCCTCCACTCTGGCACCATCCGCCACAGTTTCAGTTTCTCCAATGCACGCATTCTCCGCTTCCTCTTCCAGGACACGAAACTCTTTTTTTCTCTCAACCTCGCAGCCTCCCTCACAACCCTCTCTGTCATGGGTGGCTTTGTCGAGCTCACCTGCCATTCGGACAGCCCTTTCGCTCTCCACCAGCTCCTTCTTTATGCCCGTTCCGAACTCCGTACCTCCCTCCTCTGCTTCGCATCTGTCAAGGTCATCTACTTGGATGCTCATGCCGATTACCAGTCCGTGTGCCAGTCCCTCCAAGAGTTCTCCACCGACCCACCTTCACAGGACATTCCCAGTGCCAGCTCAGATCGCTCTTGGATGAGCTGGCTCCACACAGTTGCACCTACAGTGGAGGTGCTTATAGTGGAGCATGTGGTCCCTTTCACTGAAATGAATGTGGAGTGGCATAGCCTGCGCAGCCTTGGGATTGTCGTGCTGTACTCGGAGGGTGGGGAGATTGATAAGGATCGGGAGACTTCCGTGGAGGGCGTTTATCGTTTGAACACGCTGGATGAACGAGAATTTGACGATGGGACTGGATATGCCGACGATCCTGACCCGGACGAGCTGATGGGCCCTCCTTCCATCAAGGCCCCAAACCTGGAAGCCCTCTTCTTTCCAAGTGAAGGGTTTGATGGAGATAATCTTCTGGCAACCCTGAAGCACAACTACCCATCATTGGGGTTATATTCCATTGTCGATAGAACGTTTTACTGGGAGAGGAAAGGGGTGAGGTTGATAAATGCTCCTTTGGTGCATGTGAGGGGCAAGAAAGGTGAGAGAGAGACGGGGAAACCATCCAAGACTGTGAAGGAGAAGATGCATAGCGTGAATAAGCATCTGATAAAGGGGTACAGTGTTGATGATGAAGAGGCATATATGCTGAAAGTGGAAAGGGAACTGAAGGCCTTCAATTATCAGGCTGATGACTTGTCTGATTTTGAAAGATTTTTCCTGTCGCAAGTCTGATTATTTTTTACATTTTTTTTTTAGGCAATACTGATTTCCCTGCCTTTTTTTCTTAGTGGACACTGATTTTCCTACTGCTGACATGGTTTTGTCTAATTCATGTCACTTCTGGATGGCACGTAAAGTGATTTACTGGACAATATACTTGTTGGCAACACTGTACAGGCGCTACCAGTGTTGGGTCAATTTGATTGTGGAAAAGGTGGTTAGAACCAGGGCACTTTCAGGAAGGATGCGATATGCAGGGAGAGCCAGCGCTGCTCTGGTAGAAAGTGGCATGGAACAACAATGTACAGGAGCTTCTAGAGTTGGTTCAATAGGATTGCAGGAAGGGTGGCTGGAACCAGGGCACTTGCAGGAAGGATGCAATGTGGAGGGAGAGCCAGCGCTGCTCCGCAATGAAGCGAGAGAACCACTGTCCTGGTGCGCAGCCGGTAGTGCTAAAATTCAAGTCAATAGGATTGCACAAAGGGTGGCTGGAACCAGGGTACTTGCAGAAAGGATGCGATGTGCAGGGAGAGCCAGCGCTGCTCCGCTAGCGACAAGCGAGCGCCGAAGGAGAGCGTCTCGCCGCCCGCCATGGTGAGCTGGCAGAACGTGGTTGGTGGAGAGTGGTGGTGGTGGTAGTGGTACTGGCCGTACTCCCATGAGTCGTGCTGATGGTGCTGCAGGTGCAGTGTTGGGTGGAGGAAATGGGGAATTTTCAGGCGAATGGAAACTTCTGAAGCAAGAATGGTGGTGGTGGTGGTGGTGGTGGTGGTGGTGGTGGTGGTGGTGGTGGTGGTGGTGGTGGTGGTGGTGGTGGTGGTGGTGGTGGTGGTGGTGGTGGTGGTGGTGGTGGTGGTGGTGGTGGTGGTGGTGGTGGTGGTGGTGGTGGTGGTGGTGGTGGTGGTGGTGGTGGTGGTGGTGGTTTTTTTGGCAATGCAAGATACACTATAGCAGCGCATACAAGCATGAACAATCGTAACTGTAGCCGATGGGCCTAGACAGCAACCAGCCATCATACCCATCCTGATACTCTACGGGGGACGGAAGATCGTGCGCGGGTGTGGGTGGTGGTGGTGGTGCTAGTGCATGTTTTCACAAAATAAATGTTTTCCACTCTATGGTAGCAGCAACGGGTGCGGTGCATGGTGCTAGCAAGAGAGCCACGGAGAGCCACGGAGAGCCACGGAGTATAAGTACAAGATAAGGGCCTGCATGGTGTAGTTTGTTTCCTTGAGTGCATAAACAGTAAAGGGGTCATACCACTGTGCAGTTGACTCCAACGCCGCTGATGCGATCAGTGCTTGCCTTGAACAGGCCACAGCAAGGCAGAGTATGTCATTTGATAAAGTAAAGAGATCATACCACGGAGAGAAGGTACAAGATAAAGACCTGCATGGTGTAGTTGACTAACGCGCCGTGGATGAGAGCAGTGTGCATGGTGGACAGGCCAAAGAACGGCAAAGTCTGTTCCAAAGGCAGATAGGATAAGCAAGGGAGAATGTACCTGCATGGTGTAGTTGACTCCCGCGCCGTGTATAAGAGCAGTGTGGGCGGTGGACAGGCCAAAAAACGGAAGATTCTGCCCTTTCACCGTTCGATGAATCGTGAGCTGACACGTGGCAGGGTCCACAGTCACTGTTTCGTCCATAATGTGCCGCAGTAGCACGTGGGCCAGCAGGCTGGCGGGGGACGAGGAGGGAAGGGGAGGTGGGGACGAGGTGGTGGGGGGAGGAGAGGGAGACGCGTGATGAGACTATGACAGTCACTGTTTCGTCCATGATGTGCTGCAGTAGCACGTGGGCAGGCAGGCTGGCGGGGGGGAGGAAGGGGGTGTGGGGAAGGGGAAGGGGAGGAGGACGTGTGATGATCGGTTGTTACGAAGTCACTGTTTCGTCCATAATGTGCCGCAGTAGCAAGTGGGCAGGCAGGCTGGCGGGGGGGAGGAAGGGGGTGTGGGGAAGGGGAAGGGGAGGAGGACGTGTGATGATCGGTTGTCACGAAGTCCTTGTTTCGTCAATGATGTGCCGCAGTAGCAAGTGGGCAGGCAGGCTAGCGCGGATGGGGAAGGGGAAGAAGAGGTGGGGGGAGGTGGCAGTCGTCATAAGTCGTGTGCGAGTCGGAACTTGTGACATTGCCATGCCACAATCAGGACAAGAACCACCTCGCCCATGATGTGGCAAGATATCGAGTGCGCCAAAAGGCTGGAAAGTCTGGTGTTAGCCAATGAAAAACCATCTTACGCGTTGTGGGAAGGGTGGTTATGGGGAAAATGACAGCGTATTGGAAGCGAGGAGGGGGAGGAGGAGCATCAGCCGCAGCCGCTACAGAAGTAAAAATGTTCACACATGGACAGTGGCGCAAACAATGTTCAAGTTTTTTAAACAGACCCAGAACCGGATGGCGGTGACTGAATGACCTCGCCCAGCAGTACCGCCATCCGATTTCGGCTTCGTCTAAAAACTTGATAATTGTTTGTGCCACTGTCCATGTGCGAACGTTTTGACTGCTGTTGCGGCTGCTCCTCCTCCTCCCCCCCCTCCTCGTTTCCAATACGCTGTCGTTTCCCACTCCGCGCCCAGACAGGGGTATGGGCAGGGGCAGGCTCCACCTCCTCCTCCTCACCCTTCCTCCTCCGTTGCTGCTGCTAGCGAGAGTCTCTAAGACATAGCCAGTTTGCACTTAATCTCACTCACCCAATGCCCACCGCCCAGAAGGGAATGGAGAAGAGGATGAAGAAGACCGGAGCTCCAGACGATGCCGCTGTGGCTGTCCAGAAGGCGACAAAGGCCGTCCAGAACTGAGATGGCAGGGAGGGATGGTGTGTGGCAGGGAGATTGGGAGGGAGGGGAACAGAATTATTGAATAAAAAGCAGGAAGGGAGGGATTGGGGCGGCATTTGCTGCTGCTGTGGATGGCCAAAAGGCAACAAAGGCCGTCCGGAACTGAGATTGCACGGGTGTGAGGTTGGAGTTGGGAAGGCGGGTGAAAAAATAGGGCCAGGTGGATGAAGAGGTGGAGGGGGAGGAAAGAGGAGGGATGGCGGAAGAAGGAGATATGGAGGTTTGAGATGAAGGGAAGGAGATATGGAGGTTCGAGATGAAGGGAAGGAGATATGGAGGTTCGAGATGAAGGGAAGGAGATATGAAGGTTCGAGATGAAGGGAAGGAGATATGGAGGTTCGAGATGAAGGGAAACAACAGGGGAATACGAAACAAGATCAGCAAAACAAAGCACAATGATAGCTCTATGTTGAGGAAAGGACTTGAAAGGTGTGGAGTGGTGACCTCTAACTTGACTCAAATACTGCTATAGCGAGAGGAGCCCTTGACAGGGTCTAGCTCACCAGGGCGAAGACGATTTCAGGAAGCGCTTTGAGGGAGAAGTGCTGGGGAGGGATGGTGAAGTTTAGGAGCGTGGGCGAGCGGGAGAAGAGTACTCGCGTGCCCATGGGCTGAGCCAGGCCAGGATACGACACTGGCGTCCCCATTGCTGCTCCCCCTGCTGCTCCCCCTGCTGCCACCCCTGCTGCTGCTGCTGCTGCTGCTGCTGCTGCTGCCGCAACTGCAGCGTCAACTTCAGAGCCAATAAGCGGGGTGGGGGAGTGAGGGGAGTAGGGCTGCGGGGGAAACGGCGCGCTGGCCGGCAGAGGAACGCCGATTTGGTGCGAGGGAGAGAGGAGGGAGGTGAATGGGAGGGAGAGGGAGAACGGGAGGAATGAAGGTGCGGGGGGCGGCATTTGGAAGAACGGCGCAGAGGGGGAGAGAGGCGGGGGGAAGGGGAAAGGCGGAGGGGAAGCAGCAGCGGCACCATTGGGACCAGCAGCAGCAGCAGCAGCAGCAGTAGAAGGATTGGGCATGGGGAACGGAGGGTAGGAGGAGGAAGCGGAGGTGGTTGAGGGGCCGAGCAGAAGAGCGTGATCCGAGCTTTGGCCCTGGCCGCTCATTGGCTGCTCCTCGTTGAAACCCTAGCGGATAGAGAGACCAGGGGAGGTTTGGAGAACAGCGGTGAGGAGAAAGGGGAGGGAGGAAGAAACGGGAACGAAACAATGCTTTCAACAGAGCGGATTGAGCGAATTGGAAACGATAACGAAAAGATCAAGAGCGAAGAGAGGCCTCGTATACAATAAATATACAAATGAATCTTGTGCAACAAATGAAGTCTGGACGATCTTGTTTTATCTCTCATAGACAAAAATCATTTCTGGAATGACCAACTTGTAGCACGCTCACCATGGTGACTCTCCCGCGGTTGAAGCCACTCGACCTTCCGCTACTCGACTGCTCGGGAATCAGGGAGTCACAAGGGGTGTTCCCGCAATGCTCGGAATCACTAATCGAGCGACGTTGGCGAAGGTGGCTACTGTGGTTCGGCGACAACTTCTTGTGCATTAATCAAGGCTCGCCGCGTCTGTTTCGCTCTCAAACCGCATCACGGGCCGTTACCACTCATCCGCGTCAGCGAAGGAATATCGCAAAGTCCCGCAGGTCCAAACGATTGGGCCTTGCGACGATTTCGCTGCCTTCCAGCACTATAAACTGCGAAGGAAAGCCACTACGCCAAGGAGGTTACTCGACTGGCATCGAGACGCCTCAGAATGCAGCTCGTTGCCACGAGGCGAGCTTGCGTTGCGACTGGTTACTCGAATTCGCACAGGCGAACTTCCCTCAACTCAATTCGCTAAGGACGGCAAACACCACCATTGGGATTGCCAAGGAGGTAGAGGGAAGCAGCTGCTGTTTTGTCCGCGCTGTAAAGAGTAGCACGATCGATTTTTAAGGCAAAAATATATCATTGCAAACACCAAGTGTGTGTACAGTATTTTGGGATGTTTGAGCGGTGCAAAGCGGTCTATGTTACCTCCATATTCCTGCTGGTTTGGTTTGATTGCAACTTTTGTGCGGTGCAGTACGGTCAGAGAATTATGTAAATGATTTGGCCAGCGGAATTGTACGCGATAGAACTCTTCCGCAGCTTGCGCAAGGACCTACCCACTCGATACGGGCACTCCTGTGCAAACGATCCACTAGGTCGCATTTTAGCTGGTCCGACCGAGCCCTTAAATTCACGTCTAGGTTACGCCATTGTCAAAACCTGTGTGTGGCGTGGCCGTCATGTCGACCCTGATTGCTACCGAACCTCTGCACCTGTCGGCCAATCAAGTCACCCCAACCGATCCGCAATGTAGATTGGGAGCGATCGAAGAGATACCTAGTCGTGTTGAGGGGGGAATGCATGAAGCAGAACGAGCGGAAGGAGCGGCAGGAGCGGACGGAATCGATGGAAGGGAAGCAGCCGAAGGGGAGGAAGGAGCCAATGTGGGGGAAAATCGAGGAGGAGAAGAAGCTTCGATGGCAGAGGTGACAGAAGAGGGAAAACGAGGCGAAGGGGAGAGGGTGGAAGGAGCAAGAGAGGGGACGGATGCAGCAACAGGGGGGTCGGTGTTGGGTGAGGTAGAAAACGCGGAGGGGATGGAGGGAGCGGGAGAGACGCCTGCAGTTGCGGATTGGCCGCTGCTTCGGTTCTCGCAGCCCGCTCCCGCCTGTCGCGCGCTGATCTGGCAGTGCTTCCGCGCTGACGCGGACGCTGACGTGGCAGCCGACGCGGCAGCTGACGTTGCAAGCGGAAGAAGCGGAGGGCGGGGATGCGTGGAGGGTAGTGCGGCGGGCAGGAAGCGGAAGGCTGGGTGCGAACGCGTGGTGCGGAGCCGGCGACAAGTGGACCCTTCTGGGAACTTTCTCAAGGGCGTGAAGTGGTGAGGTGTTCCTGGTTGTAAGCCTTGCCTTCCCAAGCCCATGTCGCCTCTTCGAACCTGGTTCTTGCCACACTCCCAACGAGCTCTGGTCTGTGACAAGAACTGCTTCACATCAAGTGTTAAAAGCCATTGCTGCTCGCCCTTTCAAAATGCATCTGGTAGCCTGCCATCCCATCCCACCTGGCGTTTGTTGCTTCTCCTGCTGTGTGGCATGCCATGGCAGGTCGCCAGATGGCACGTGTCTATTGGCTTCCAGCGAGGATTGCTGCCTGCGCCTCTTTGACCTGTACGTGACATGCCATGCCATCCCAATGCCACCTCATGCCGGACCATGCCATGCCATGCCGTACCATGCCATGCCATGCCATGCCATTCCAAGCCATCCATGCCAATGCCACACCATGACATGCCGTCCTGTGCTCTTGTGTACCCGCACATATCTGTTATCTTTTCCGATGTACCGGCTGTATGGACCAATGCCAAAGAACCAAGTTGGAGCATGGAGCTGAGCCGAGGCAATAGTCAGCAGACCAGTGGATTTGACCCACCCTGTCATGCTGTACCTCTCAGGCGTCTGCCCTCTTCCTCTCTCCATTCATTCGTTTAATTCAATCCTCTGGTGAAATATCTGGTTTGTTTCTCTCTGCTTCCTTCCTGCTCACCGCTCCTTCAGCCCTGCTGACATCATGCTGGCGTCATCTGCCCCATTTGACATGAAAAATGAGGCCACACTCCCCAACCGAGGTATCCTCGATATTCGTGCTTTGCATGCACTCCATTCCTTCGCATTCAATGCAACGCACTGCTCATGCTGACGTCATTATGGCACGATTCTTACCAAACTGTCCCTCCCCCCTCCTCCCTTTCTTCCCCATCCCCCTCCCCACGGGCTGCCCCCGTCTCCTTCCCCCATTCTCTCTCCACGTCTCTTCCCCTCTTCTACCCGCCCTCGCTCCTCCCCCCTTTCTCGTACCTGTCAGATTCGCTGGCACCAGCAGTGATGGTCAGGGAGGGGGAGACCATCTATGACTTCGCATGGTTCCCTGCCATGTCAGCAGCTGGTATGCCATGTCAGCAGCTGATATGCCATGTCAGCGCTTGTATGCTGTGTGATCAATGATTCGATTACCGGCAAACGAAAGGGAGAATATCCATACTATGTGTTTGCCCCGTGTCTGCTTAATCCTCTCCCCTCTGCTCTTGCCCACATAGCGACATCTTTGTCTCACACACACCGGATCATTCCCCGGCCCACACCGCCCCATTTTGTCGCGTAGCGACTCACCACGCAATTCTCATGTCATGTATGCACTGCGCTGCACCATGCACCATCCCACACACACACCATCTCATCTCCCAAGCGATCACACATACCCAGTGTCGTGTGTGTGCGCCAACACTGCCACGTCATCACTTGCAGACCCGGTGTCATGTGTGTTTGCATCAACATCAAGGGACCATCCGGTGCACCTGTGGGATGCCATGACCGGCCAGGTGTGCTCTCACCTGAGGTGATTGGCCAGGTGTGCTCTCACCTGAGGTGATTGGCCAGGTGTGCTCTCAGGTGGTTGGCTAGGTGCGTTCTCAGGTGGTGACCTGCTGTGCTCTCAGGTGGTCCGCCAGGGCTGTTCAGGTGTTAGACCAGGTGTTAGACCAGGTGTTAGACCAGGTGTTAGACCAGGTGTTAGACAAGGTGTCAGACCAGGTGGTACGCCAGGTGATGGACGAGACGAGATATTGCTACTGCCCGCTCTACAGCTTCCATTTCCTTCTCCAATCATGCCCCACTCCCATGTCTCATCCAGCTGCGCTGCGCTGCACGTACCACGCACATGACCACACCACATGGACAGACGAGATCGCCATGCATGTGTGCGTATTGTATTGCTACTGCGCTGAATGTACCGAAATGCACTCCTCCCCACCCTCCCGCACCATGCCACACCAGCTGCGCTGCACGTACCGAGCATACGACCACCTGGATGAGATTGCTGCTGCCCTCTCCCTCACCTTCTCTTCTCAAGGAGACAAGTGAGTGGTGAGTGAGGGAGTGAGTGAGGGAGTGAGTGAGGGTGCGCATGAGGGTGTGAGTGGGGGAGAGCGATGGAATGGATAGAATGAGTGTGGGAGTGAGTAAACGAGTGATTTGTGTAGGAAGATCAAGTGAGTTGAGTGGGTGAGTGAATGAGTGAGTGAGGGATTGAGTGTAGGAGGCTGTTTTGCTGTCATTGCGTTGAGGGAGAAAGGATCAAGCAAGTGATTGAGGCAAGTGAGCTTCCCTTTCACGTCCTCCTCCTTTGTTTCTTTCTCTTCTGCCTTCGTTTCCTCCTCTCCTCCTCTCTGCCTTCCGACCTCCCATATCACCACTTGATAGCTGCCCCACTCCCTGCTCTTCCTGCCCCACTCCCTGCTCTTCCTGCCCCACTCCCTGCTCTTCCTGCCCCACTCCCTGCTCTTCCTGCCCCACTCCCTGCTCTTCCTGCCCCACTCCCTGCTCTTCCTGCCCCACTCCCTGCTCTTCCTGCCCCACTCCCTGCTCTTCCTGCCCCACTCCCTGCTCTTCCTGCCCCACTCCCTGCTCTTCCTGCCCCACTCCCTGCTCTTCCTGCCCCACTCCCTGCTCTTCCTGCCCCACTCCCTGCTCTTCCTGCCCCACTCCCTGCTCTTCCTGCCCCACTCCCTGCTCTTCCTGCCCCACTCCCTGCTCTTCCTGCCCCACTCCCTGCTCTTCCTGCCCCACTCCCTGCTCTTCCTGCCCCACTCCCTGCTCTTCCTGCCCCACTCCCTGCTCTTCCTGCCCCACTCCCTGCTCTTCCTGCCCCACTCCCTGCTCTTCCTGCGCCACTCCCTGCTCGTCCTGCGCCACTCGCTGCGCGACCTGCCGTGTCCCTGACCTGCCGTGTCCCTGACCTGCCGTGTCCCTGACCTGCGCCACCATGCCTTTCCTCCTCTCCCCTCGCCTCCCCTCCCCGTTCCCCCTCAGGCTCATCCTGGGCTTCCCACGCTGTCTCAGAGTGTTTGACACGAGCATACCAGGGCGGGACTGCCAGCAGCACAGCACAGGCGCCAAGGGACGCGGCCAGACAGGTACGGGCGGGGTTGCACAGGTAGGGGCGGAGGCAGAGGGGTAGGGGTTGGGGTAGGCGGACGGGTAGGTGCCCCATACCGGGACGGGATTGCCAGCAGCACAGCACGTTCGCCAAGGGACGCGGCCAGACAGGTATGACTTGGCCCCGGGGTATTGGGGCCTCTAGATATGGCCGGGGAGGGATGGATGGTGCCTGTGGGAGGAGTAAGGGCGAGAGTTGTACCTGAGGGCGAGAGTTTTACCTGAGGGTACCGGGATGCGACTGTTAGCAGGGACAGCACGGGCGCCAAGGGGCGCGGGAAGACAGGTGGGGAAGGGGATAGGGGACAATAGGTAGGGGGGCAGGTGAAGTGCCTCTGGGATTAGTTGCGGTTTGGAGTGGTTGAGAGCGTTCTGGGGTGCGACTGCCAGCAGCACAGCACAGGAGCCAAGGGGCGCGGCCAGACGGGTATGGCTGGGGGTGCATGTGGAGGGGTGGAGGCAGATGGGTAGGCGTAGGGGGACGGGATAGGAGGCGCCCCATTGCAGGGCCCAATTGCCAGCAGCACAGCATGGGCGTCAAGGGATGCGGGAAGACAGGTGGGCAAGGGGATTGGGCCGCCTAAGTATGGGTGGGGGATGGATGGTGACGTGCTTCTGGGAGTAGCTGCGATGTGAGTGGCTGTGATGAGGTTACTTTGACAGGACTGTCAGCAGCACCGCACAGCACCGCGCAGCACAGCACAGCACAGCGTAGCACAGCACAGCACAGCACACCCCATCTCACCACTCCCGACCCCTCATCACCCTCCATCCCCATCCCGGGCGTTCTAGCCGTGGGCTCGTATGACGGCACTGTGGGGCTGTACGGTGACCCAATTTCTCATTGCCTCCTCTCAACCCTCAACCTTCCCAACAGTAATCGCCCCCATCCCCTCGCAGGTCTGTTGTCCTGCCTAGCCACCAACCCGTACATGCTGGGCCTGCTAGCTGTGGGCTCATATGATGGCACGGTGGGGCTGTTATGCCATTCCCTATCCTTCCAACCTTCAACCCCCACCCCTCATTCCCCTCGCAGGTCTGCTGTCCTGTCTGGCCACCAACCCGTTCATGCCAGGCCTTCTGGCCGTGGGGTCGTACGATGGCAGTGTGGGGCTGTACGGGGATCTGGGCAGGGAGGCCATGGCAGTGATGCACGGGCACACAGGAGGGGTCACTCAGGTGGGTGGGAGTGTAGGGTTGGGTGTGTGTGCTGCTTCAATGTCAGTTGTTGTCCCGTGCACACTCCTCCCCTCTTCCCCCTCCCCCCCCATCCAACCCCCCCTTTTTCTGCACCCCCCTCCTCTGCACGCATCACGCCATGCCAGGTGCTCCTTTTCTCGGGATGGCAACATCTGAGCCACGTCCAAACCTGATTTCCTTCTGCACCTCTCTCTCTCCCTCTGCACACACCACGCCATGGCAGGTGCTCTTTTCTCGGGATGGCAACTTCCTCTACTCGGGTGCGCGCAAGGTCAGCCCCTCGTTGCATATTGTTTGTTGGCACGCCTGCACGCCTGCATGTCTGCACGCCTGCACGCCTGCATGTCTGCATGTCTGCATGCCTGCACGCCTACATGCCTGCATGTCTGCACGCCTACATGCCTGCATGCCTGCACGCCTACATGCCTGCATGTCTGCACACTTGCCTGCATGTCTGCACACTTGCCTGCATGTCTGCACACTTGCCTGCATGTCTGCACACTTGCCTGCATGTCTGCACACTTGCCTGCATGTCTGCACACTTGCCTGCATGCATCCAGCATGCAGCTGATAGGTTCGCTGTCATTCTCTGCATTCACGTGCCTCCTCAGCATCTTCCCGACTGCCTCCATCTCTTCCTGTCAACTTACATTCCTTTCTGTAGGATCCAGCCATTCACTGCTGGGACGTGCGGAACACATCAGGCGTTGTCTACAGGTGTGTCATTGCGTTTCATGCAGGAAATGTTCCATGCATGCCCATGATTATCGGCACTGCTGCAGGGGAATCGCAACACATGCGGCACGCTTTTGAGCACCTCAGAAGGCGCTTCGAAAGGCGTCTGTCTACCTGCAGTTTAGGAGAATGGCATTCAAAAGCGTACCCCATGTGCACATGCTATGTGCTCTCTGCGGCCCCTAAAAAGCTACATCCAGCCATGTCATCCCATGCCATGCCATGCCATGCCATCGCATCCCACCCCATCCCATCCCTTGCCATCCCATCCCATCCCATCCCATCCCATCCCATCCCATCCCACTCCACCCCATGTCACCCCATGGCCGCATGCCGCAGTGTGTTTCGTCCACCAACCAGCGCATGTCCGAGCCATTCATGCCATGCCATCCCATGTCACCCCTTGTCATCCCGGTTCATCCCTTGTCACCCCTTGTCATCCCGTATCACTCCATGGCACCCATGGCAGTATGCAGCGGTGTGTGACATCCACCAATCAGCGCATTGCATTTGACATTGACCCCTCCAACCGCCATCTCGCCACCGGGGGAGAGGTATGGGATGGGTTAGAGCGCTTGGGCATGGGTGCATGCGTGCATGGATGCACGGGTGCATGGGTGCAGGGGTGCATGGATGCATGGGTGCGTGCATGGGTGCATGGGTGGATGGGTGTATGGGTGCAGAGGTGCAGGGGTGCATGGGTGAGTGGCGGCATGAGTGCATGGGTGTGACAGCATCAAGGGCATAAATCGCCACTGATGTGCCACATCTTGCCGTGTTATATTGCGTTCCTCACCACCCTCCACTATCATGATCCACGTCACCCATCAGCCTCAACCCCTCTCTTGGCACCACCGCCTCTTCTCCACCTCTCTCACGCTCGCACCCTCCACCTCTCAATTGCAGGACGGTCAGGTGTGGGTGTACGATCTCGCTTCAGGCTCCAAAATCGCAGCCTTTCAAGCCGCTCAAGGTGATGTTGATGTGTGGTGCAGTGCGGTCCAGAGCACTGCAATGCAGTTCACCAGGGTTGGAGCACCCTTGAAGCTCCCCACAGGACAGTCAAGTGTGGGTGTTGGACCTTGTTTTTGGCTCCAAGATAGCAGCCTCCCAAACCGCTCATGGTGACGTTCATGTGCAGTGCATTGCGGTGCAATGTGGTGCTCTAAGATGCGTGCAAACCCACCTCCCCATATACCATCCACCCCAGCCTGCCTGTCTTTAAACCAACACAAAGCTCTTCACTTGTTCTCCTCAAACACATTCCCCCCCCCTCCTCCCCTCCCCCGTCTCCCTCTCCTCATCTTCCAAACCCCCCTCCCCAGATACCATCAATGGATTCGCCTTCCACCCCTGCCTGCCGCTAGCTGCCACGTCATCAGGCCACCGCAGGTTCCACCTGCCGCCGCCCCTCACTCCTGCCAGCCCACCTGAAGCAGACAACTGCTCACCTGAAGCACCCGCCATTGCACCTGAAGAGGGGCACGTTTCCCCTGAGTGTGCACTGGCATCACATCACAAGACATCAGATCGGCTCCACAGTGAGTGCTTGCTCGCGACTCACTCAATCCTTACATGGTCTTTAATCTCAAGTGTCTTTAGGTCTTTAGTTCTTAATTTGCAAGTGTCATTACCAAACTGCTGGTATCTGCAAGTGTCATTACCAAACTGCTGGTATCTGCAAGTGTCATTACCAAACTGCTGGTATCTGCAAGTGTCATAACCAAACTGCTGGTATCTGCAACTGTCATTACCAAACTGCTGGTATCTGCAAGTGTCATTACCAAACTGCTGGTATCTGCAAGTGTCATTACCAAACTGCTGGTATCTGCAAGTGTCATTACCAAACTGCTGGTATCTGCAAGCTCTGCCCATAGGCTCCTTCCCTTACCACAAAGCCTTACAAGCTAATTTCAGAATAATCAAGGACCAACTTTGGCTGTCGCTTTCATTTTCCTGGACGCCTCGGGACCTGTGAGTCCTCCGCAGTGATTCGCTCCCAACATCCACCTTTCCATCTCTTGGTACCAACATTCTTCTGCCCTTCCCCTGGCAGGGTTCAATAACTGTGTCGCCATGTGGCAGTTCCAATGCATGTGGGGGTGAAGGATAGCCCGGTTGACGTACCCTACACCTCGCTTGGCAGCACAATACGTCCGCATGTGCACTTGGTCATGAATGTAACAGCATTGAGAAAATTGTTGTTGACGCTGTTATGTTGTTGCAACATACCCAACCCAAGAAGATATCTTGGCGTTTCAGGTGTTTCCGCGTACGGTACCTTCATATACTGTGAGAACGAATTTCTTTCTTACGAACAAACATCACGTGGATTAGTGATTGTCAAATAGGGCAACATGCAAGCAAATCAATACCGCAAGCACGGTCTACATATTCCTCATTGAAACCGCGAAGATGGTACAGTACATCTCACGAGGGCCACAAACCTTTAGTGGATAAACCAACTGACAGTTACATCACATCACATCACACCACCCAAAACCTACGTAGTACCACGTCACCTTCCACGTTTGAATAGCCTCCCTCCTCTATGGCTATGGCTGAACCTCATCAGGCCATTCACCCGGCCACTTCACCATGCCACCAGCACATTACTACCACCCGCTCCAATCCAAGCCTGTAGTATCACCGGCGTAGAAGCACCACCCAGCCTCAGCCCCAACAAGCTGATCGGCCACAAACATGCCATCAGCACATTACCACCCGCTCCAGGCATGGAGCACCACAAGCACCCAGTCTCAGTGCCATGCCATGAGGCCAGTACCCTACCTACGGTACCTTGCACAACATTCCGTCAACCTCAACTGGTAGCTAAGCTACCTGGGGTCATCTTTCTGCACTGATTCATCATTCTCCTCTGCGTCCCCTTCCATGTGTCCCCTTCATAAGGCCATACACGTGGGCAGTGCGGGAGGCCACAACAAGCGCGTTGACCACAGCGCCCAGCAGGCAGCACTACTGGTGCAGAAGCACCCAGCCAGCCCAAGACCCAATAGACTAGTGCCCTACCTAGCATTCATCCAACGAATAGATGCCTTCTAGCAATCCCCGAGCATGCAGGTGCCTCCTACCTAGCATCATCTTCTTCCTCTGCTTCATCTGTCTCCTCTTCTCCTCCCACCTCGCTGTGTCTCATAAGGCCATACACCCGGGCAGTGCGGGAGGCCACATGCACGTTCACGGCAGCGCCCAGTACACACACGGCCGCCAGGACGAGGAATACGAGGCAGTAACCTACTTCTCATCATCTTTCCCCACTGCTTCATCAGTTTCATCTGCTCCCGCTGCCTCAGTGTGTCTCATAAGGCCATACACACGGGCAGTGCGGGAGGCAACAAGCAGATTCACAGCAGCGCCCAGTACACACACGGCGGTGAGGATGAGGAAGATGAGACGGAAGCAGTGCGCCCCATGACACGCCTTGGGCCCCTCCCCTCCTCCACCCCCCGCTGCACTGCCCACAGCATCACTAAACCAGCCACCCATTCCCTGCCCAAACCAGCTCGTTCCCAACCACCCCTGCCCCATATGCTCTGCCCCTGCTGTTGCCGCTGCTGTTGCTACTGCAGCTGTGGGTGTTGCAGAGGGCAGCATCAAACCGAGCATCTTTCTAACGCCTGTGAAATCAGCAGAGGCACCGGCCACGTGCCCAACTCCTACTACTGGCTTTAAGGCCCACTCTTGCCTGGGTGCTAGCAGCGATGCTGCTCCCTCTAGACCTGCTGTGACTCCCCTGTCTTTCCGTGCCTCTATCTCGTAGAGGTACCCCGCCAGCACACCTGGGAGAAGGGGCGAGGCAGACAGACAGGCAGCGGACAGGTGACACAGGACAGACATATCAAGACGCAGGGAGGCAGAGAGGCAGAAAGGCAGACAGAACAGTCACATGGACTGAACGAAGTGACAGACGAACAGATGAGGCCGTCTCACCCCACCCCACTTCAAGCACTAGAGGTAGGCCAAATGCATGGGCAGCTCAACAACACGGCAAGGACTATTTTTTAGGCGCCTCCAAAGCAGACAAAGCTGTTCCGCCCCTATGCACTAGAGGTAGGCCAAGCGCAAGGGCAGCTTCAGAGGCGCCTCAGAAGCCACCCCATCCCACGCGATGCACTCCAGCCCACGCGATGCACTAGAGGTAGATCAAGCGCAAGAGCAGCTCAACATCGCGGCAATATTTGAGTCGACTCAAAAGTCAGCAACACGGCAAGGACGGAACAGAGAGGGTGCTCCTTCCAGTTCAGGGAGCGCGGACCTAGCAGGAGTGGCTGCCAGCTGTGAGTTGCAGAGGCGGCTGAGGCAAAGTAGGGCGCACCTGAGAAGAGGTAGGAGCCGAGGGGAGCAGCGGCGAGCAGGGAGTTGTAAAGCAGGCCGAGGCAGCGACGGCCGAAGAGCTCTGCTGCGATGACAGGCATGACGGAGCACAGCCCGCCATACGTGAAGCCTATGAGGAGAGAGCCCAGGTACACGCCTCCTGGTGGGGCCAGGGCGAAGGCCAGATGCCCCACTGCCATGAGCAGCTGGATGGCTGCTAGAGCCATGGGGCGTGGCATGCCATGTGCCCTGTAATGTGCGCAAGGGAGGGGGACGGCTGGAAGGAGTGAGCAACGGGAGGCAAAGGCCTGATGCTACACGGCCATGAGCAGCTGGATGGCTGCCAGGGCTATGGGGCGTGGCATGCCATGGGCTCTGTGATGGGAAGGGAAGGAGGATGAGGGAAGGAGGGGGCCCTTGAGTAAGGTATGAGGGTAGGGAGACAAGGACGAGATGCAAATTGTGGGGTTCTTGGGGCAGTGGCAGAAAGGTCACTCCCTCATTCCCCCTCCACCTTTCCCCTCATCCCACCACACCGCCCATTCCCCCATCAAACCCCTCATAAAACCGCTTTTGAGTCGACTCAAGAATAAAACCCCACAAACCTACCTGACGAAGTGCTCCGACAGCGATCCACTGGCCAGGCGGCCAAGGAACTGCCAGATGCTGACGAGCGAAGTGAGCACCTGTGCATTGCCGTACCCCTGCGCCTCGCCTATCTGTGCCAGGTTCGTGATGGCCGTCAGCCCCGCACCAAAGCCACACACCAGGCCCCCGTACAGCAGCCAGAACTCCACCGTGGATAGCGCCTGCCCAAACGAATGGTCCTCCCCCAGATACACCTCCCCCCTTGCTGCTGTTGTTCCCCCTGGATGGGCTTGCTCGGTTGCTTCGTCTCCTGCCCCATCGCCTTCCTCCTCCTCCTCCTCCCCCTCCTCCCCATCCTCCTCCTCTTCCTCCTCCCTGCACTCATCCTCCTCCCCATCATCTCCGCCCCTGCTGTATCCCCCTTTAGGAGAGGTGATTCCAGTCACCCTCGAGAGATTCTTACCATGAACAGACGTCTCTTCCTCGCCAAAGTAGTAACTCCAATCGTCCTCCCCGCCCTCCCCCTCCCCCCCACCCACACTCGCCGCCCCTGCCACGTCACCATCCTCAGTCAGGCTGCTGAGGCTCTTCTGGCTGCCACGTGGCGGTATCCAATCGGTCCTAGGGCCGTAATCAGGACTCGAGCTGCTTCCTCCTGTCTCTCCTCCTCCTTCTCCTCCTCCTCCTCGTTTCCTTACCACCTGCCTTCCCTGCCTCCCCCCCTCTCCCTCCTCTCCCTCTTTTCCCTCTATCCCTTCCTCTCCTGTCTCTTGCTCCCCCGCTTGCCTTCCCTTCAATCCACTAGCACTACGCAGGCTACTACTGCTGGATATACTCTGCGTCCTTCTGCCACCAACGGGACTGCTTATATCGAGTATACTGGACTTGGGCTGGCTCCCCGTACCTTCGCTTCGGTTGGTTCGGGAGTCAGCAGACGTGCCCAGGAGTAGGTGCATGAGGGTCGCCGAGCCTACGCTGCTATGGGTGCCGAAGCTGCTGGCATGGGCAGCTGCGGTGATGCTGCTGCTGAGGCCTAGCTTCGGCGCATCACCAGACCTATTAGGGCTTACGAACGAAATGGCTCCCGCACCCCTCAATCCTCTTCCTCCTGTTCCCCCTGCTGGAGATGATGAAATGTTCTGAGCAGAAGAGCAGGTGCGTCCGCTGGAAGGGGGTGGCGGGCTGTTATAAGGGGAGGTGCGTTCAGGGTAGGTGGGTTTGGGGGAGGTTCTGCTGTGGCTGAGAGGGGAGAAGGCGGACTGGTGGGGTGAGAGAGAAAATGCTGGTGGGTGAGTGGGTGGAGGGGAGGATGGGGGGAGGGCACTGGCGGCATGGAGAGTTTCCCCTTCTCTGATTGGTGGAAGCACGCTTGCCCGGGGACTGGTGCCACCAGGAGTGCCTGTTGCTGCTGACGTGGCTGGCGACGATTGGAGCAAAGGCTGGGAGAGATCGGAAGAGCCCTGGGCGTGTGGGTGAGTCAGAGAGGAGGGAGAGGACGAGGGGGTGGCGGAGGAAGGAGAGGGGGAGCGGGACGGGAGGAGCACGGAAGCAGGGGCGAGGAGGAGGAGGAGCATGGTGATGGTAATGGCAGTGGTGGTGTGCGGTGAGAAGGTGGTGAAGGCCTGCGAGGTGATGACGAGGAGGAGGAAGGCGGCAAGCAGCATGCAGAGGCGCAGGATGAGAGAGAAGCCTGCGCTCTCCTCTGCTGCGACTTTGGGGGTACGGGGGGCTGGGGGGGATGAGGGGGCAGGGGGACATATGAGGGGGCAGGGGGACATATGAGGGGGCAGGGGGACATATGAGGGGGCAGGGGGACATATGAGGGGGCAGGGGGACATATGAGGGGGCAGGGGGACATATGAGGGGGCAGGGGTACATATGAGGGGGCAGAGGGGCATACGGGTGGATAGGGGGACAGATGGGGGAACAGGGGGCATACCAGGGGACAGGGGGGCATACCAGGGGACAGGGGGGCATACCAGGGGACAGGGGGGCATACCAGGGGACAGGGGGGCATACCAGGGGACAGGGGGGCATACCAGGGGACAGGGGGGCATACCAGGGGACAGGGGGGCATACCAGGGGACAGGGGGGCATACCAGGGGACAGGGGGGCATACCAGGGGACAGGGGGGCATACCAGGGGACAGGGGGGCATACCAGGGGACAGGGGGGCATACCAGGGGACAGGGGGGCATACCAGAGGACAGGGGGGCATACCAGGGGACAGGGGGGCATACCAGGGGACAGGGGGGCATACCAGGGGACAGGGGGGCATACCAGGGGACAGAGGGGCATACCAGGGGACAGGGGGGCATACCAGGGGACAGGGGGGCATACCAGGGGACAGGGGGGCATACCAGGGGACAGGGGGGCATACCAGGGGACAGGGGGGCATACCAGGGGACAGGGGGGCATACCAGGGGACAGGGGGGCATACCAGGGGACAGGGGGGCATACCAGGGGACAGGGGGGCATACCAGGGGACAGGGGGGCATACCAGGGGACAGGGGGGCATACCAGGGGACAGGGGGGCATACCAGGGGACAGGGGGGCATACCAGGGGACAGGGGGGCATACCAGGGGACAGGGGGGCATACCAGGGGACAGGGGGGCATACCAGGGGACAGGGGGGCATACCAAGGGACAGGGGGGCATACCAGGGGACAGGGGGGCATACCAGGGGACAGGGGGGCATACCAGGGGACAGGGGGGCATACCAGGGGACAGGGGGGCATACCAGGGGACAGGGGGGCATACCAGGGGACAGGGGGGCATATGGGCGAGGATATACAATCAGCTTGAATGCCCCCCTGGCCCATTCGGGCTGATATGCAATGTTTTGAAGAAACAACCAAGGAGAGAAGAGGCGCTTTAAAGACTGCTCAATTTGCTTGAATGGCATTGGTGGAGGGAAAGGGTGGAGGAGGAGGACATACGGGGAGGGAAGAGGCGCACGATGAAGAGGCTGAGGATGCCCACAGCAGCGGGGCCAATGCACGCCAGCAGCAGAAACGCCGGAGGGTTGGGTGCGAGCAACGCAGAGTAGATCTGCGTGGGGGAGGGGAAAGGGGGGCAGAGGGAGGGAGGGACAGGGAGAGGGAGCCGTGGCATGTTGGGAAGGAAGGAAGGAGAAGGGGCACGGGACCAAAGGAATGAAGTTGGCTTGGGCAGGGGGGCCTCTTCTCCCCTCTTTTTCCCTGCCTACGTCCCAACAGCTCGCCCCTCCAACCTCTTACCCCTCCCGGCCCATAGTACCTGTGCAAAGATGGCGCCTCACAGGCCTATGAAGCCCACGAAATAGCCCACCATAATGCTAAACAGCACCCCCCTGAGTGCCGGAAGCTGAGGTCGCCAAGCCAACCAACCTCCCCAGCCTTCCCTCCTTGTGAACCCCCACATCTTCCGCCTTCCCTTCCCCCACAGCTCCTCCCTCCGAGCCCGTACCTCCCATCCCCCTGCCCCCCCAGCAGAACCTGTGCAAAGATGGCGCCTGAGAGGCCAATGAAGCCCACGACAATCCCCGCCACTACGCCCCCCGAGTGCGGGAAGTTGAGCTGTGAGGAGACGAGGCCGGCTGTGATGAAGTAGATGGACCCGTTGGTGGCGCAGCACAGCAGGCACCACACCTGCAGTGGCGAAGAGTGGTGGAGTGCGGCTGAGTGTGGGTTGACTGCGGTGCAGTGGGGTGGAGTGTGGTTGAGTGCAGTGCAGTTTGGACGCGAGGGGGAATGGGAAGTTGAGCTGCGAGGAGACGAGGCCTGCCGTGATGAAGTAGATGGACCCGTTGGTGGCGCAGCACAGCAGACACCACACCTGCAGAGCCGGGCAGTGTGGTGCGGTGCGGTGAAGTGAGGTCAATAGAGCCGTTGGTGGCACAGCACAGCAGACACCACACCTACAGGGTTGGAGTGCATTGCGCCTTAGTACAATCAAATATGGTCAAGAGATTTTCAGGAGCCTCGATTTTCAAGTCAAGCTGAGAGCTTTGAAAATGGCTTTCTGTGGTCCATTTGTGCGACTCCACGGTCACGCAGATGGCACTGGCGCCCTTAGTGCGAGTTTGCGTTGTTCATTGTAGTACGTCGTGCAGCACCCTGACATAACAGGTAAGAGAGTGATTCTCTGTTCAGCTCTTGGAGGGACGGAGGTGACAGCCAGCATCAGGTGATGCACAGCACATGGAACAAGGCGGTGCAGGACGTCAAGCATTGCCGCGCTGTGTGCTGTGCAGCGATGATGAGAGGCATGGGATGGCACGATGAGGCATGGGATGGCACGATGAGGCATTGGATGGCACGATGAGGCATGGGGCATGAACATGAAATGAACAGAGCTCGAGCAAGGAGGGGTGGCCATGGGATGGATAGAATGCGGGAGAGCAGTGCGAGCTGGTGCTGGTGCTGGTGCTGGTGCTGGTGCTGGTGCACAGTGGGATACCATCGCACAGCTACCCTCGCACAGCAGAAGCAGATCCGGACACGGCTCAGTGAGCTGTGTGCGTGCAGTAGGCTTAAGCAAAGGAAAAAACAGCAGTAGATTTCCGCTCTGTGTACAACTAAGTGCTCAAAACGATCTCAGAACCCAAATTCTTAGCAGTAGAGTAAAACAGGGACAAACATGTTTCGGCCTATCACGGGGGAAAAACCCGATCAGACCTTCATCAGTGCCAACAATGAGAAAGAAAGGGCTAAGCAATGCCTCTAAAGAGAAGCAAGGCCTCTAAGAAAGCGAACTCTAGGCTATCCACACCCAGGTCACCCAAATGACGGGGACCAATCCAGACCACCCTCGAAAACTTCAGGCAGCCACGTCTTCAACTTCCTCGAAAGTGTCAGCGTGAAGGGTTGGGTTCAGATTTTCGCTAGGGGACAACTTCGGAAGTCGCGCGCGCACCAGTAACCGCTGCAGGTTACAACCAATTTTCCACGCAACAAACATTCTCTCCACATATAGCCCGCGTGTGATGAGTCGATTTTTAAGTCGACTTAAAAATTGACTCATCACAGTGGGATACCATCGCACAGCTACCCTCGCACAGCAGAAGCATCAGATAGTCGTGCAGTGGCATGTGACATTGATCAGCTCGCAATCCCCCACTGGGTTACTGACCTGCCAGAAGGGTGGCGCGGCTATCCGTTGACTGAGCACAAGCCACAGGCCGCCGTACCCCACGAAGCCCTGCCAGGCGAGGGGAGAGGGGGGCACACGAGGAAGAGGGGGATCACACAGGACAGACGGTCGCATGGGCAGAGAGGGGCACACGAGGCAGCGAGGGGCAGAGGCATCTGGATGCGCGCAGGTAGGTGCGGTGCGGTGGGGGAATAAAGGCTGATGTCCCGTGGACGGGGCCACACAGATGAGCAGGCAGGCACGGAGCACAGGTGAGGCGAGGCCTGCAGATCGTTGCCAGGGAGAGAGGCAGGGCGATGAGGCAGTGCCAGTGGCTGCCGATGCCACTGGCAATGGGAATGGCAATGGCAGTGGGGATGTTTACAACGGCCATGGCTACGGCTATGGCTGTAGATATGGGAGTGTCATAGGGAATGGTGATGACAATAACACTGATATGGCCATGGCAATGCGAATGTGAATGTGAACCCGAGTGGCAATGGCAATGCCGACATCATTGTCAGTGTCAGTGTGAATGTCAATATCAATGTCATAATCAGTCTCAATGGCAATGTGACATCAATGTCAGTGTCATTATCAGTGTCAGCGCCAATGCCCAGCAGACTCGTGAGCATCAATAGAGTAGTGAACGGACCAGCAGTGTGCCGACGGCAATGACGAGCCATGGCGGCACCATGTCAGCGAGCAGCCCCGCCAGCAGCCCCATGTTGTCGCCCACGTCCTTGGCCACCCCCAGCGTTGTCACGGCCTGCTGGTTGTACCCCAGCACCTCCTGCACGCGTTGGAGAGAACAGGTAAAGGGAAATAGTATGTGCTTCACGTGACAGGGCATGCTTATGCCACGCCTTTGGCCACTCGTAGTGTTGTCACCGCCTGCTGGTTGTACCCCAGCACCTCCTGCACGCATGGATGGGAGCAGGCGAAGGGCAGAAAAACGGCAGCAGGTTCACGTCACACGGAGAGAAGGCATCTCAAAGCACACGTATGCCACGTCCTTGGCCACTCCCAGTGTCGTCACCGCCTGCTGGTTGCACCCCAGCACCTCCTGCACGCATGGATGGGAGCAGGCAAAGAAAACTGTCTCACGATCACTCTGTGTGCTCGCTAGTGCGTGTGTGGTTCCTCACCCGGGCTGCTAGGCAGCGGTAAATCAGCACCTTTGTGCAGCGAGGAAAGGTACGGGGGGAATGAGTGACTGCCATGAGCGGAAAAGCGGGGAGAAGGACAAATGGTTGCGGACAATGTTATTCGGCCGGAGAGTTTTGCAACAACTGCGGCCGAGCGACGTGCCTTGATGGTCGGCGAGTATATGGCGAAGTTGTAACTGTTACCCGCGCACGCGAGTAACCACATGGAGCCGATGAGAGCGAGCCAGCGTCCCTTGGCGAAGCCATGCGATTGGCTTGCTTCGGCCATGATGGTCGACGAGAAGAGCCGTCGATGCGTTGATGATCTGCTGACTTCGACCAGAAAGTCTGTACTTTTCCCCCCCTGGTTCGTCTGGTTCAAAGTGAAAACTTATTTGTTGCTACTACGTGCGACATTGCTGCATTCTGAAATGCGTCGACAGAACCATTGACTAACGAAGAGCCATTACTACTACTACCCTGAGCACCTCATGATGCACTCGATGCAGGTGCGGCATTGTGACGAATGTGTAAACCCGCTGACAAATGAACGAAAAAAGCTCTTCACGTTGTTCTCTGACTATCTCCACCTCGGTTTTGCCTGCTTTCAGGCGTGTTTCATAGATGCTCAGGTATTCTCTGAGTGCTTGAATCCTGGGGGTGTCTTGGCGGGAAACCTTGTTGGCACTGGCAGCCATTCCCAAGCTCTCTGATGTGCTGTGCCGCCGGGGACACCCGATAGGTTGAATTCCAATGTGACAATACCGCCTGGGTCGATGCTATTGGTGCACCCGAGCACGTGTCGGCCGAACAGTTCCAACTGTCGCTAGGAGGAATCCCGATAATATATTACAAGCTAAATTCTTCCGATTAAGGGAGAAACACGATTTTTAAACCATAACCAGTACTAGATCAAGCAGAGTCTTACAATAAGAAAAACAAGTTGACTAGTCAAGCATCTTGGTCCATTAGCATTCAAAAGCAATACTGCAATCACTTATACTACTCAAGCTTTAGGCGTTGAAAAAAACAAGAGGGAGCATTCAGTAGTGGTACATATGTTCAGTCTCACTGCAGATCCCGCAACCCACTCTCTTCTGTCGTTCTCAGTACCTCAGCAGGATCCCCCTGTATCCACAATTCTCCCTTCCCTATTGCCAACCTCCTTGGCAAAATACCTACTCCTTCCTTCCCACATCAGATCCTTCCTATACCCCTCTCCAACTTCATCATCACACTCGTCCTCTCGCCCGCTTCCTTGAAGCTTGCCCTCCCTCAATGCTGCTACCAGTCTCCTCTTCCCCCTCCCCTCCAGCATACCCATTCTCCAATACTCCAGGTTCCCCAACACCACCCATCCCTCCCACCCCTGCAACTTCTCCCCCTCCAACCCCTCCAATCCCTACCATCCCCCCCACTCCTCCCACTACCCCACCCCCTCCTACCCCAACCGCCTCCCCCCCCATCCCCTGCTCCACGTGCATGGCTGGGTCCAGGGCGAACATAGGCGTCTGCAAGCCGTTCATCGCGGCGGCGGCTGTAAATTTCCCCACAGTCGCAATGGCTTGCTCCTTCCCCTTGCGCTTCTTCCGCCCGATGCGCACGGTGTCCATCTCCCCGTGCTTGCGCGCGAGGTTCTCGTAGTGCGCGCGCCATCGCGGCATGAGCTCCTCCCACCTCTGCCACTGCTTCCACGCGCCGGGGAACTTAAGAATCGTTATAAAATCGTCGTGCGACATTCGCTTCAAGCACGCCTGCTCCTCCTCCGTCAGGATAGCCGACACGGCGCGCACGCCCAGGTGGACAATCATATACGCCGCGGCGGCGTATCCCTTCGCAGCCTCCATCGGGTCGTCCCACGTCCCCAGCGTGTGCCTCTGGCCATCGAAATCGATGGAGCTTTGAAACCGGCCGTACAGGACCTTCACACCATGAAGCCCGGTCACGAGATTCGGTCGCCGTTTCCCCGGGACGGAGTCCGTGGATTGATCGGACGGGAGGGAATTGACGACCATTGGAAGCTTGTAGCGCTCCGCTGCTGCTCCATTTAGGACTTTGGATTTTTCGGCTTTGGGCACGGGTGTTAGTGAAAGGGTTAAGGAGCCGTCGACGTTGGCTGGGTGCTGCTGGAGCGCTTCGTTAGCAACTTGGGCCTCAAGCGCGTCGTTGGGCGGCTGAAACCCTTCATTCGTTCCGTGAGGCTGAAGCGCCATAGATTATGAAGGTTAGGAGGTTGCTCTGCGGTACCGAACGGCTAAAGTTGGCGGGAAGTTTCTAGAAACGGTACCACGTGGTTAATTACGACAAGACGGTTATGAGAAGGTGGAACTCGGTGATTACAAGAGCAAGGTTCTCCTACACGGTTCAGAAAGGTGGGATGCTAGATCTGTCAGAAACAACTGATAGAAGGTGAAACTCGGTGATGGCGGAAGAAAAGGGGTTTCGGACAGGTTTCACACTGCATCTGCTGGCGACAGGTGAGAGAAGGTGAAAGCCGGTGGTTGGGGAAGAGAAGGGGTTTCGTGTCCGGTGGGGAAAGATGGGGGTCCTTGGAATCGACGGATGGAGAGTAATATGCGGAGGTAATAATCGACGGTTGAAGAGAGACGGTTGAGATGAGAAGGTGCAGGTCGCTGGATCGACGGCTGCTGTTGCCAGCTGGCTGGAAGGCTAGTTGGGATGGTGGCGGAATGAAGGGGTTTTTGCAAGCAGTTCAATCAGTCAAGACTGAACTTGGTGGTCAGGCAAACCTAGGGGTTTCGTCTACGGTTCAGGGAGGTGCATTGTTGGGCAGGTGTTGTGGGCTGGAGGGAGGGATGCAGACAAAACGATTTAGATGGCGTTCCTGAGATGCGGCCCCATCCGAACTTCCCCCAGCAACAGTGCACAGAACACGTGCCTAAGGCATGGCAGCAACGGGGGGAGTGAATCTGGACGTCGCATGAGTTGGGCGGTGAGGGTCGTGCGATTTTTGCGCATGGCAACTTCCCCTGACGCCCAACGTCAGAACCACTGACGTTTTTGACTGTCACAGGACCCCGTGTTATGGGAGATTGTGGCCGTTTGGAATTGGCGCATGAACGTTGAATACAGAAGCATGTGATTGGTTGGAAGTTTTCTCACTTGTTTTTCGCACAATGAGACTGACATCGCATGGCACGTGTGGTGGGTGTGCAAAATACCCAGGACTGCCACGCTGGACCAATAGTGCAGCACTCCGAACTTCCCCCATCTCAGGAACGCCATCTTACTTGGCATCCCCAAGGCTCGACGACATCATTCGACGTTCGTTCGGTTCAGGCATCACCGATCGACAGCACCCCTTTGAGGTAAAAACCATTCGACGAAAATGTTACATCCCATCCTTTTGTCACTTGCAACGTTTTGACTCTTGAATCCTATCGGAAACAAAGATTTAAACAAGAACAGACATTCCTAAATGTTTTAGCAGGAGAAATGGCCTAAACCAAAGCTGCTTTTTAGACCACCCGAACGTTTGTTAAGGAAAGAACGAACCACTCGCTTCAGAAAGGCTCCTCTGTACAAGAACGAACCAGAGCAAGACTGTATACATTCGATATTATACAACATTCGGTGTAGCAAAACACTCGCTTGCAAACCATCACCTACAATAATTATCACATCTATCCACATGATCTAATGACATCATGCACCTGAACATACTCCTCTTATCAATCCCGCACCTCAATCCCGTACCTCACTCTCAGCATCATCAGCCTCCCGTGTGAACTGAGAGAGCGAGATCCCTAGGCGCTTCTGCTCCTGCACTGCTCGTTTACTGAACGCCACTGACCCTCCATTTATTGATTTATACGTAATAACCGCGCAACTGCACTTTTTCGCACAATGAGATGCCACATCACCCGCCAGCATATACTGGAACCAGGGGTCACATTCACGAAAGGGGAAAAGCGGAAGTGGCAGGAGAGTATAAGAGTGATGTTCAAGAACACTGATGGCCTATGGGCGTCCTGCGATGGATTAGCATTCACGGTTCTTGAACCATTACCATCTTAAAATGTCGAACACGCTGATGAATGAATGGAAAGTAATCAAACACCCTCTCAGCGAGCGAGATTGTGACTCGTACGGTTGAAGAGTAGTGAAGCACTTACATGTAAGGTTCGTTTCCCCTGTGATCCAAGAACGAGTAAATCAGCTTTCTCTGCTTCGGCGACCTTGGGTATAACCTTCCTCGGATCGCCCTCCTCCACCATGACGCGCGCCGCGGGGAAACCTAGTGAGTGTATGGTCTTTGCGGCGACGTTGATTGTGTCGCGGATGAACGCATGGTGGGACTTAATCTCCGCCGCTGGATCCGCGAAGCCACTGTAAAGCGATGTAAGGTCCTTATCTGGCGAGAAATGCGAGACGGGTTGGGGATGTAGATGCAGTAAGTGTATGCGAAGAATGGGAATGGTATGGAAAGGCAAAGAAAAGCGGCAGCACAAGAAAGAGGAACATGCAGAGAATCAGGGCATACCTGTAGGTCTGACATGTATTACGATCAGTTTGTCTTGATCTGAGAGTATCGACTTCAGAACGAAGAGAAGAGCCGCGTCGCTCGCGTCGCTCCCGTTAACGGCTACCATGATCGTTCTAGGCTGCGGCCCGGAGTCGGGCTGCTGCGATTCCTCCACCATCGCTCGTCGCGGTGTTAAAGCAGGCGCGGGAACCACTAGAAGAGAGACGCAGTAGTTTTCCAGGCAGGCGCGGGATTCGGGAGCTAGTCGCAGTAGAGCGCTGGGAGCACTGCTCAGCTCGCCTGGCTGTCGAGCTGGGGAAGGGACAGGATTTGCGTCTTTCCACGGTGCTGTCGTGGCGATCACTGGCTGCAGACGTGACTAGAGCAACTGCTTGTGGGGAAGAGCCTTTCCTTGCTCAAGATTCGTGAGTGAGGTGCGGTCGAGGAACGTTTGCTTGTGGGATTAGGCAGTGATACTCGAGGAGGACATTACTAGCATCAAGATTCGTGAGTGAGGTGCGCTCGGAATTGCCAGCTTTAACAGGAGTACCTCTATGTAGAAAGTGATGGGACAAAAGGCGCAAAAAATAGGGCCGCAGCTACTTCAGTTCGTTCTTCGCAGGTGCGACTGGAGAGAGTGTGCAGCAGTTGGTAAGGCACCACAGAGTAGTTACTGTACAAGTTCCCCCCGTCGAGAAACGCCGGGTTTCAACGCAGCGTACGTGTACTGTACATATGTAACGAGCCAAGTCCAATTAACGCCTTGTCGTACGCAAACCGTACGGAGCGCCTAACGTCAGAAAATAGCCGGAATCGTCAGATAAGGGGGGATTCCGTTCACGCACTCCACCCTGAGGCCGTTTTGCGCAAGCGCCGGCCATGTGGGCTCTAGGTCGACCCACCCAAGCCGAGTGGTGGGAAAAAAATATCATCGTGTTCAGTCTTCGCGCATGCGTATGACGTGGCATGGGAAGAAACAAGCAAGGAAGTGATCCGAGGCGGATCCGTCCAACTCCAACTGTCAATCTCTGGTGGCTTTCGCTCCGTCCCGTTTCGTCACAGATCCCACGAACAGCCATGACTGACGCCCAGAAAATCGGCGTAGGTGCATGTCTATGGCGGCACGACGGGCTGGTCCTGGGGACGGTAGTGCTTGCCCGCAACACCTCGTCTCGCCTCGTCTCGTCTCTTCACAGGTTCTGTTCCGTTGCTTTGCTGATGGTGGGGTCTTCTTTCCTGTCGAGCAGTGTGAGTGGTAGATTATGGTGGGTGGAGTGGATTGGAAGGGTGCAGTGGGCTGGGGTAGGGTGCGATGGGCTGGGATAGGGAAGATTAAGGTGGGCTTTTCTCGCTGGAGTGTGGGGTGGGGTGGGGTGGGGGGGTGGAGGGATCGGAGCCATAGGTGATTGGTGGTTCGCCATCATGTGTCGACCCGCCACGAATGGAACCTTGAATCCAGGTTAGAGGGGAGGGGAGGGAGGGAGGGACCATTGTGGAAAATGGGGGTCGGAGTTTGAGCTGGTGGGTGGGGGAATGGATGGAACTGGGTGGAATAGGAATAAGAATATATTAAGATCTTAATCAGTTACAAACAAAACACAGAATGATTGATAATACAGCTAAGCAAGCCAACGACCCTTTGGCGTACGTGATTGAATGAACACGTTATTCTCCTATCCTAGCGGACAGCCACCAGCTTTGCTGTGGAGTATTCTGTAACAAACTGAGAGCCAAGTTAGGGCGGACGAAAGGGGTTTCCAAGCAGCCAAGAGGCGCGTAGGTCCGGATGGATTGTGAGGGAACCGTCAGCATCAAAAGATATGAATCGTAGCCGGCCAGCCGCCTGAACGCGAGACGCTGTTTTCTGTTGTTTCTTGGCAGATTGTTTAGAGCGTCTCCAGAGGAATATTTTGAAGGCTAAGAGGAACTGCGCAAGGATGAGTTGCAGGATCTCAAAGCGGGAGGTAACAACGTTGTTGGATCTCTGAGCACAGCGGGCGTTCCAGAGGGCCTTGGCAGCAGCACCGACCAGTAGGCTCCACGGGGCAGTCCGGCCAGAACGAGAAGAAATTGGAAAGAAGATGTGTTCGGTCGGAGGGTTGCAACCCAAGTGGCGTCCAGCAACGGATCCCAAAGCGGCCGTCACAGTGGGGGCCGCTCCACAGGTGAAAAAGATGTGAGGAATAGTCTCGATGTCATGGGACTGGCAGCGCGAGCATCGGCCCCTATCTGTTGAGAACAAGAACCGGGAGCCTGAAGGGAGAGAGCGAGTATACAGTCGGAAGAGTAGATCGCGTTGCAGGCTGGGCTATTCGCGAAAAAAGTCGTGGGAGAGGTCGGGGAGAGGAGTGGGTAAGGGGGAGGAAAGGGCGTGGGTCCAACGGGTGTCGTGGTCGAGCGGTCGTTGCGTGTATAGTAGTTGTCGAATAGCAGATAGGCTCGGGACGCCATCACGAAGAACCTCCAGCCGCGCACCGAGCCCTGCACCTGTATGCAGCGGACCAGCCACCCAATGACCTTGAGTGTGGACCGCTACGACATCTTTAATGTGGAAGATACCGGAGCCGAGAGGGGTGCGCTCAAAGAAACCGTTGGGCAGCACCCGATGAAGGGTGGCAGAGAGCGAGAAAGGGGGGGTGAAAGAGGTTGTTTGAAGTAGGAGGGAGGGGGAAGAGTGTAGGTCAGAGCTCGGAATAAAACAGTCCCCCGGAGAGGCAACGGCAAGGG